TCGTCGCTTGGCAACGACGTTCCTTGCCCAGATCGCCCCATCGGTGTTTGCCATCGGGATTGGGTTTTCTTCGCTTGTCAACGACGTTGTACAACAAGCCAATTCACTTCGTGAACTCGGCAACCAGGTTACCGTTTTTTTTTGCTACCTCTGGTTATTTTTGCCGGTAACCATGAATGGTGGTCGAGTAGATCATGTTGTGCGGGGTGGAGAACCCTCACTCCGCGCAAGGGGGATGATCGCACCACGTTGTGTTAAAATGGTCAAGCACCCTCGAGGCAGTTACACAGTGCTTACAACTGTCTCTGGAAGTGAAAGCACCAGAAAACAAACTAAGTCATACGCAGCTGTCATCCGTACGCAAGGAAGTAAGCACAAGATGCCGAACACCCTTAGCAGGATGCAGCGCACCCTTCATGCGACTCGCTGAATACCTCACGGCGCTTCGCGCTTGGTGGTGTGAGAGCCTGGTCCGGTGAGAACCCGGCGTGCTCCGTCCCGGCTTTGTAGGGATGCGAGGTCAATGGTCTAACGACATGGCATGCACAACTATGAGTACACCATCCCTGCCCAGATCATGCTGCTCGCACATATTGGGTCATGGCCTTTCACCCGCACTAGGTGAATCAAGTTGTCCGACGAGGGAACATTAATCGCGCAATTCGGCGCGCGACGGGATGCCTTTTCACGTGCCAGCGTGAATCGGGGGGCGAGAGCCTGGCACGGGATACTCCGCATTGTAGGATGTGGGGGGTACAGCGGTGTATTGCATATCTTGTTTTTTGTCGGATGGAGCATACAGGCATCACTTGTGCCATGATCGTGACCTCCCCACACATTTGTAAGCAAGAGCGGTGAATACACCCTGGGGCGAGGACAGAACAATGGGAGAATACTATCTTGATTTGTGGCATTCGACTGCTCTTGTCGCCTTTCACTTTTCGTGGCCTCGCGTGTCGAGAAGGAACGGTGTGTGTTTGGATCGCCTCTACCACTATCCTTGGTCCACCATGTCACCTGCTGCGAGTTCTGAGTGTTTGGGAACGTTTTTCTGTGTTTTTTTCTCTTATAGTGTCTTTGTAATGATTTTTTCTGGGTCCTTCCATGTAACTCTGATTGTTCATAACATCTATTCCAGTACTCTTCGTTTGAGTAGAGAACTTGTGAAGGTGTCCGTGTCAGATGGACCGGGACGGATGCTTGGCGATAGTGAGAAAATATCGGAATGGTTTGCTATGCGAACACAACAACGACAACACCACCACCACCACCGACAACGACCACAGCAACAACAACAACGTCGACATCAACAACAGCTATCCTGAACGGAGTGCCCACTTAGCAGCAACATACCTGCTTGTTCAGCTGAGGGAGGGGGTCGAACCATTCCGCCAACAGGCAGAGTACCTGGTTCACCACATTTGGAAACATCAGCGGGGTGAGCGTCAGGCGCACGGACATTGTTTTGGAGGGGGGCATGAATGGAAGCGAAGTTCGTATGCAAACAGAGTCACCTGAAAGTTTGTAGATAATTGGCGGATCTTGGTCACAGCCAAAGAACAAGGGCAAACAGACACGAGGCATCCTGTAGTAGAGCCTACATTTGGGCAAATTTGGATCATTCCCCGTTTTGGTTCTACACGCTACGGCAGTAGGACAGGTTAGCACACACGTTTGGTCTTTACGTCATTCCATGAACAAAACACAAAAAAGCAAAACCAGCTGGCCCAAGAAGACTTCTGTAAAAGCGATCCTCAAGAAACTGTCAATGGATCCCTTACTACATCTGTTCTTTACCCGATGTTACTCCTCGAGCATTCCCAGTGGAAAAGCCTCAATCAAACACCGCCCATTGTTTCGTGCCTTTCCTCTGGATTGTGGAAATCAGTCTACCACAGAGCTCCAAGCACTGTCAGGGTTCTGGAATTGAAAAATTCTTTGCGTATTTACGGTACGGTCGGGTTCCATGTCGGACGATTGTCGAAGTACCCGTTGTTCGTTTGGCAAAAACCGGCTCCCAGTTCATGTTATGGGCTTCGAGGGTTTCCATAAATGACTGCCCGTTCGGCGACGTTTCTGGTGCATCCAGCGGATCCATGCGACATACACATACGACGTCGTGTCCTGTTTGTCTACCTGTTCTGGCCGCTGTATGCGGGTCAAAGTGTCCCGAAAATTGAAGGCTTTCCACGTCTTCGACAAACGATAATTTCACACACTCCTCAATGTATTGCCTTTTGACAACACCAGCGTTGCCACCGCTGGTGCAACTGACCAAAGACTAATGCTGCATGTGCACCAGCAGGAAGACTCTAAAATATTCTATTCTTTGCATCGGTGCATTTTTTTTTTTCTCCCATCATTGGACTCTGTCGTCTTGCCCCGCTGGCCCCTATCCTCCACTTCTACTAGCTAGACGACCCAACCATCGTTTATGTCCCGTTCTTTTGCGTTGCCCCGTGTCATCACAACCAAAGGTTCTGTTGCTTCAAACTCCTGTTGCAGTTCTCGGCACCAAAAGCATATGGTGGGGGTTGAAACACTTTCCGAATCTCTCAAGACCCGGTCACAACGGAGCTGCTTAGGCATGCTCAGCACAGAAGCTTTGCACGAGTTTTGGACCCGCAACAGAGCAACCGCACCAGCGACGACTTCAATCGTGGTAGAGAGGTAATCATCCCGCGTTCTCTGCCTCCCACAATAAAAAATTTATGGGACGTAAGCTCCTGATGAAGAACAAGTCCTTTCCTACCGAAAACAGATCGGGACTTGAGCCCCGAGTTCCGATTCGAACGAGGACCTCAAGTATTGCTCGAGTATGTGATCCTACAGAGGAGGTCTGGGGTGTCAACATAAGAAGGCAAACCTGTGGATGTTTACTGCAAGGGACCAAAAAGCTACAGGGAAAAGCCGTTATCGTTGAGAGGCTTTCTTGAGAGATAAAGATGACGCTGGGGGCTCCTCATCAACTGTTGGCCCAACCACAAACGGAAGCCTCTGTGCATGAATGCAACACCGCGTGGTAAACGAGCCCTTTACGATACTTGCAGACGAAATTTGTCTGAATTGGCCACCCCGGCCCAACCAATACCAATACCTACCCCGAACTCAAACTCACCCGAGGGCCGAGCCGAGGATCGAGGGGCCTTGAATGCCTCGCGCGGGGTCGCCGTGCATTCGGCAGGGGTTCGTGAAAAAATAAGAAAAATAAGAAATGACTACGCGTGGTTGACCAACCAGAGTGTAGTATTACAAGACACACTTCGCCTTGCAACGCGGCCTTCTCGGGGTTGACGAAAAAACAACATAGTCTATACACACAAACAAGCATGACGCGGGTGTGCCTCACAGTTAGGGGTGTTAAAGCGGCGGAAGTTGGGGCCAAAAAAACGTCCGGTCCATCTGGCAAAATATGAGGGGGGAATGCGGATTTGGTCCTTTTTTTTAGTTCTTGAGAATCCCGCTGTTAATACTGAATAAAGTATACATCAAGTCAATTTGTTTGTACAGGTAGCTCTGCGTCCACACAGCAGCATGGCACTTCATGCGTTACACAAACCTGGACACAGGTCCAATAGAGGTGACTGTAGGATAGGTTTTCTCTTAGAGTAAAAGGGCGGACGAACAACACCAAAAAACATGTTTTTTCGGGCTATTTGCTCCACGCCCAAGGCGACCTTTGCTCCTCTCGTGAAAGCGACCCTACAGCCCTCTACCTGGGGTTTACAGCCATACCACACAACAAACTGCATCCGAATCGCATCAGCCAACCACGAGATCTACATGTCTGAAAACTGTCCCTCCAGTGGGGCTGCAGCGCCCACACCAGCAGACCCTCCCAAAAAAAAAATCGAGGTCCACGCCGTTCGGCAGCAGGAGGCGCGCTGCCCGAAAGCTGAATCAGAACAAAAAGTAGTTTCAAAAGAGGACGGGGCAGTGTATGGTTGCCGCGTCAGCAGAAGATAACACGCGGCGCGCTATCGAACGCGGCAGCCTCACCGTCGTAGAGAAAACGCTGAAGGAAACGAAAGAAGAGTTGGTCAAAAGTAAGAAAATTGTGGAAGAGAGCCAGGCTCAACCTCGCTGCCGCCGCCGCCGCCGCCGCTGCTGCTGCTGCTGTTTTTCTCAGCAGCAGCAGCGGCGGCGGCAGGTGCCTGCGTGGCTTCACCGCCCGGCTGCTGCTGGGGTGTGTCATGAGGCATGTGTTCTAGAGTGGGACCGCGCAATGGTGTTGTGCTGTGCCCCATAGCAGGGCGCAAAGCACACAGGCGAGCCGCGNGTTCCTCACACGCCTTAGACCAGGAAACCCGAACCCGACCAAACTTCCAGCAGCCTCTGCTGTGAGTGGCATCTAGAAAAGCGGTTGGTCTCGGCCAGCTGTCAAAAGGCGACTCGCTTGATGTGTCGACAAGTAGAACACGACGGCTCGATAGTAGCGACCTACTGCCGCACAGCAGTGTACACGCAAATACCTGGTCCCACCTCCATCACGCGAGCACCAGTTACACGCCAGGAGTAGAGGAGAGAAGTTTCTGTACATGAACCGAATCCATGCATACTGCGTATAACGCCTTGCTTCGAAGAACTATGAAGTAAACAACCACTGGCAGCGTCCCGTTACGCAGGGTACACAACACCTCGGAATGTACGAGCCATCACCGGCATGTGAGCAAGCAGGGGAAGAGAGGGAGAGAGAACAATTGTGTCATCCCATCCATTCATCGCCACTCGAAGTGTCTATACCTTTCCCACGGCATTGCCTCTCTCATCGAAGAGCTCCGATCCGGGATCACCAGCGGGAGGATGTCTCTGCGGTGATGCCTTTATACTGCATGGTCTACGGGAGACTGCTTGTACCGCTCACGAAGAAGCGCTTTCAAACGACTTTGTACCGTGCACATCGAGGTACCAATCAACTGCACACTCTCGTCGGGATCTGAGCCCCCAACCTAGCCACTAGATAATTCACGGGGTTACTACATAGCCACCGGAAAACCGGCTCATGTACGCCTGATAAACTCCGCCTATTAAAAAAATACCATGTTCCATGAGAGAGTCTCTCAAGAGGCGGAAGCGCGGGATCTGCCGTACCTTGGAACTCACCGCCTGATCTCGCGCTCTTGGCATTGTTGTCTGCCCGCTTCCAAAACCTGGTTGCCGCTAGTGCCACCAGCAGAAGAACAAGCCACAGAGAGGTTCTTGGAAGAATGGCGTGGGGTGGGCGTTCTATCTGGTGTGCTCCCTCTTTGCCCTGACCCTCCAGCACAGAAGTGCTCAGGCTGTGCTTGCCGTAACGCCGAAACGCGAAAGTCAAGAGTGTGGAAACCCGGCGGGACTGTTGACCATGTTGCGAGACTGTGAGTTAAAAATAACTCAGTGCGCTCCAGCGCTCCAGCTCCAGCGCTCCAGCCTCCGGACTCCGGACTCCGGACTTCGTACTCCGAACTCCAGACCAGAATCCAGGCCAGATTGCCTCCTCCCCTGATTCCAGATTGCAAAATCGAAAACTGCTGTAACTAACCAAGTTGTGGGGCACCCGACGTGCCAACCTGGCGCACATGTGCGTACCGTCTACGTATTAATGTAAATGCTGGGTTCATTCGATACAGGCTAAAACCATTTAGACCGCTCAGTCAGTGACTGACTGAAATGTACCATTGACACAGGCACACCTTCAGCATGGCGAGGGGTCCGTCCCCGGAGATCACTGCTGTCACTGCCGGGAGGGCAAGAACCCTCCGATACAGTATACAGATAGCGCCCGCACTTAAGAACATAGCAGTAATGTTGGATTGTTGTTGTTGTTGTTGTCGTTTCTCACATTAGCTCTACTGACCACACAAAAAATGGGAGCCCTGTTCGAGGGTCTGCGAACATTGTTGTTGGATACATGGAGCTGGATACATGTGTTGGATGATTTTGTGTCACGCAGACTGGTAAGATAACCGTTTGATAAGGGGCACCGCGATGATTCACGGGGCCCCTTCTTGCTGTAGGAGCCGCTCTTTGAGCACTCCCTCTTTCGTTCGTGTGAAGGACGGTCGTCGACCTCTCGTGAAGTTAATACATCACCAAAACAGTCTCACCCGATAAATAAGTGGCGTAGGCCGCAAACACTGTAGAGTTTGCCCCTCGAGGGAAGCCACATCGGGATGAGCTCTGCTGGAGACGAAGAGCACGCTGCTGCGAGCGGAGAACAGATCCACCAGCCGGTGCAGGAGGGCCGCGACGCGGAGCTTGCAAGTTTGCAACGCCAGATTTCGCAATTGGCGGCCCTGGTGGAGGAGTCGGTGAAGAAGAAGGAGCCTGGCAGCGTCGTGGCGGATGCAGCCAGTAGGGGTGGCTGGGTTGCTGCCCCCAGAGGCCAACGAGAAG